GCGTGCGCATATCCCGCGGAACTGCGCGTCTCATCTGCGCGCAGCGCTTAGGATCAACAGCAAAGCTGTGCCACGCAATCTTGTATCATGTCTCTCTGGTTTGATGTGGTATCAAATTTGCAGTCTGTACGGGTTATTAAATTGCAGGAATAAATGGTAACTTGAACCAGAAGAAAACTCACGCGCATGATCCGGTTTCAGGGTTTCGGGTAAAGGTGTCGCCACTGTGCTGGCATTTAGCAGGCTTGATGCATGCTATATCAATTACTGAGATAGTTCAGCGTATCTGCATTGTTATAACAATTTTGTCATCAAACGAATATTTACACTCGTGAATTTTATTCATTCCTGATATTTTGTGTATTTATACGCCAAGGATGTTCAAAATGTGTCAAAACGAAAGCTGTGTTATAAGAAGTGTGCCTGTGTGCAGGTGCGTACGTGCGCGCGTGCGTTAGTGCGTACGTTGTGCGCGCGTTATACTGCGTGCGTCAGTGTCTACGTACACCTGTTACACGCGCGTACCTGCGTCACCTGTCGCGTACGTATGTGGCGTGATTAAGTAACCCTTACCTACCCTTGCGTCCCTTTCCCACCCGCTTAATCTGTTGTTTCGTTAATAACCCATCGTCGATGCCGCCTGCCACAGTTGCGCCCCACGCCTGCCGCATGCCACATGCCGCCTGCCGCCTGCCACAAGTCGCGTGAAAAATCGGCTGGTGTGGTGGTGTGGTGGTGGTGTGGTGGTGGTGTGGCTGGTGTGGTGGTGTGATGGTGTGGTGGTGTGGTGGTGTGGTGGTGTGGTCCCGCTGAGCCGATTTTAAAAACGATGAAGACCGATTTTTGGGTGTGCGCCGGCCTTACCAAAAGCAATACGCCACAACAAGGGGCGCATTGTTTTCCCGCCACCAGCGCGTTGCGGACCAATTGTAAGGTTAATTAATGTACAACAATATTTTAAGGTAGCACGTACTCCGCAGTGCAGTTGGCCTGGCCGATTGGCGCAACTCCGTTTTGGTGAAATACTACTGCTAGTGGAAACAGAAAAGCAAATTTGGTTACAATGGCGATGGGCGCGTTCGTCGAGCTTTTATTGTTGAACACGGCGGCTCGGCTAGTGCGCCCAACCTGCAAACAGCATTTACGGCCGCGATGAGTGCACGTACGCGCTGCCTTGGAGTAATGAGGAGAAGAAGGAGAGAATAAGGAGTCAGCTTATTACTCCACGGTGCTGCTAAGACTTCGTTGCATTTCGCACGCACGGAATGCTGCGTAGCGCAGATGGGGTCGTTGTCGTATCAGGTACTACAGATATGTACCCGAGGTACATATATGATATATGTATACACAAGTGTACCTGACCAATGTTGTTTCTACATAACCGTACCGCTGCGCTCCATAAATGTACCCAGGCGGGAAGTCTCGTTCAGTCACGTGGTATTGTCGTAAAAGCCGGAAAACGGTATAAAATAGGAAGAATTTAGCGCCTTCTGATTGGCTGGAATTTGGCAAGATGTCTGCCTCCATGACTTGTAGCCAAAATCCTGAATTATCTACCAAAAACCCTGAGGTCAGCTGTAAACTAATCGTTCCACGAACATAAACAGAAAGTAGAACAAAAACGTATTGCGTATAGGCCCCTACACTGCATATCCTGATACCTGTTAATACGCGGAACGATACGGATACGCAAATCGTATTATCATTTCCTAACTAAACCAAACTCGGCAGCTATAAGCCCAGACCCTCTCATAACTTAAGATTAAGATGAAAATAACACATTTGCACAAAGAATTGCAATTATAGTGATATTATATGTTATATTAATGAGTAAAATATGTGTTTTTCATGGAAAATACACCAGAAAACTTACTTATCTAACGGTTATAAACCAAAACAAACATTTACAAATGGCGTTTGTTCTCTTGTTTTGAAGGTTTACGACATTCTCGTACTTTATCGCGTGGTTTCATATGCTGCCCGTGGGGCAGGTACGTTTATGTAAACACAGGGTACATATATGCTGAGAAGGTACAGGTCTGGTACACTTGTGTATACATATACGTACCTCGGGTACATATCTGTAGTACCTGATACGACAACGACTCCTTCAGTCTTAGGCGCTAGCCTGGGGGCCGTTTCACGAAGCGCTCGTTAAGTTAGTGATGGGTTAAAGAGGGGTTTTAGGATATCCTTATATATAGAGTGTTTCACGAAAGCCTCGCTAAGTTTTCACGTTTCACAAACGTCTCGCTAACTCAACGACATTGCTATTAAGGAGGAATATTAAGGACAGGTCAGGG